GGGAGCATCCTCCATCTCTGAGCATGGGAACATAACCCAATCAAGCATTTAGAAAAGCGACAATTCAATGACACTGTCCAGGTCTATAACATTTCAGGGAAACTCTTGCAATGAACAAAGGACCTATATTGTCACCCAATTTAACCGGAAGCAAGCTTGGTTGAATGTAACGTTTTATGAACGCTGTAAACCCTCCACAGTTTCCCATTCTGTCCTGTGTGTTTATGCCTTCAGCTATATGCACACTGTAACGCTGAAATTCAACTCGCATGCCCGTCTCGAGCACTGCAAGTATCGATGCTTAACCACTTTGTTTCAAGCATTTTAAGCTTCACGGCAGCGTGCAGATTAGCGACACTACCACATGACCTTAACATGTTGGGGCCTCTGCAGCTAAACTGGGGAAAACCCAGAGGCTGTGGTCAAATGGTGTCAAACTATCAGTTGGTTACTCTCTCTGCTCTGGGCCAAAATTAAACCGATCTTCTACCAGTGTTCGGGGATACCGTATTATAAAGTAGCATCAGAATGCGTCGATGAAACCCCAATTGTGTGACGAACGATACACGCAAAAAATCGCTTGGCTAGGAATCGATAATATTATTTATGATTACGGCAAAGTTTGCACAAATACAATCATTTAACCGGAATGCCTGGATTGACTGGCACGGCAAAGGGGAGTGAGTGGGGGGGGCAATGTGACTGGGTCCTAACAAGAGAGGCAAAAACACACAGGACGCATAAGGACAAAACAATGAGGGACACTATTGGAACCTCATTTTCCAGTAAAAAATATAATTGGTTTTTTACCCTTCTATCTGGCAACAAAACTGACCTTTTTTTTTTACAAGGAGTCATGTTTGCATAGACCACAATACCTGCAGCCATAATGCAAACAAAAAACATAACTCTGATAATATATGCACTGTCCTTGAAGTTGATTGGTCCACACCCGAGACAGCTTTCCTTAGAGCCTAGTCTCACATGGGTTGGACCAGATGACGCCAAAAGGCGCACAACTCAAAGACAATGCACCATCAGAGTATGAGAGCTCGGGGTAAGCATTTACACCATTGGAACCTCATTTGCCAGTAAAAAATATAATTGTTTTTTTTACCCTTCTTGGCCAATCACCAATCAACTTCAAGGACAGTGCATATATTATGTTTTTTGTTTGCATAATGGCTGCAGGTATTGTGGTCTATGCAAACATGACTCCTTGTAAAAAAAGGTGTCAGTTTTGTTGCCAGATAGAAGGGTAAAAAAACAACTATCATATTTTTTACTGACAAATGAGGTTCCAATAGTGTAAATGCTTACCCCGAGCTCTCATACTCTGATGGTGCATTGTCTTTGAGTTGTGCGCTTTTGGCGTCATCTGGTCCAACCCATGTGAGACTAGGCTCTAAGGAAAGCTGTCTCGGGTGTGGACCAATCAACTTCAAGAACAGTGCATATATTATCAGTTATGTTTTTTGTTTGCATTATGGCTGCAGGTATTGTGGTCTATGCAAACATGACTCCTTGTAAAAAAAGGTGTCAGTTTTGTTGCCAAATAGAAGGGTAAAAAACCAAATATCAATGAGGGACACTCTTTAAGAGACGGTACAAAATCTGTGAGAGAGATGGGACAAGATTGTACAGAATATGCAATGACGCACAGCACAAAATGTTATGCAAAACCCGCATTACAGACAACACGAGGATCAAATAGGTGGTGGTCCAAAGGAGGCATCGCATACGCATGATGCACACTGCGAGAAGGCAGCACCCACCTTGCGGTGAACTCAGACTGCCTGGAGATGGCGGAAATGCTAAGGGGCCGCTGTGCAGCGACAGCATGACCCTTATTTTTTATTGTAAGCAACTTGAGAGGTTTATGCGATGTGCAATGATTAATAGTAGCCTAACAATCATTGTTTTTACCAGGTAAGCTATGTAGCTCTTTTTCAGAAGCGACCAGGCCACAAATGATAGCTCAACTTAGTGACTTTTCATGTGGAAATGTATAGCAGCCAAACACTCTAAAGGCATGATGTCGATTCTAAATGTGGAAGGAAAAACCAGAGGACCTGGAGAAAATCAACACAACCACAGGGAGAACATGCAAACTCCAAACATACAGGCATCAGGATCGAAATCAAACACACGACCTCATGTATATCAGGTGAGGTACTTAACATCTCGCTACCGTGGCACCGAATCATCTATATAACGTCGCCAAAAATTATCATTCACTATCATGTGAAAAAACGCAATTTGATGCAAGAATCGAATCGCTGTGCCCTATCAACACGATCAATCAAATCACCAGGAGGTCCAATTGTTTTAAAACAGAGGTTCTCAACCTTTCAGTTGCAGTGATATTTTCAGGGATCCTGAGTTTCCATGCCCTTCGTTTTTGGATAAAATGCTTGGAAATATAACTTATAAATATAAAAATAACTTTCACAAAAAAAGTTTGGCTTCCTACACGTGAATGGCACAAACAAGTTTTGCTTCCTACGCGTAAAAGTGCGTCTTGGCGCACACGTTCATTCTATGGCTGGGAGGCGTTTTAAAATAGCCCCTGAAGGTTTGTTTTTAGGTTCGGCAAAAAATAGATATGCAGATATCTCTTGGGCATAGGCGGACAGCAAGACAGGCTGGAAAAGAAGGTCGTTAGGGAACATCTATATAAAAAAGAGACATTTGTGAATGTGTGATTGTTCGAAAGGTTTAGCATACTTCCCAAAATGCAACAAACTTGAAATTTGGCATGTGGGTAGCTTCCAGACTGTACACAGTAATGGATATATTTCGCAGGGCAAGTGAGCGGTGACAATCACATCTGTGATGTCACTCGAATGCAGCAGCGTCACGCATCCCCCCCCCCCACCCTCCGCGTAGGCCGTGTATTAATCCAAGACAAGAATCCCAGTCTCGGGCGAAGCCGGGTAGTAAAGCTAGTTCTTTATATTTCTTAAGCCAATTGTGGTGAAAAAAACTGGCCTCTGGAGCACGTAGCAAGCCCACGACGCAGTCAGTTTCATCAAAGAGCAGACGAAGCACCTTTTGAGTAAAATCCACATAAGTTTGCATCTTCGCAAAATGCAGATACAACAGCAGTGATGTACAGCCCTTCACTCCCCTGCCGGATCAGGGGGGCCTCCCCCCTACGCCGTGCGCGGGTCATGGGGATTGTTTTGACGCGAGTAGACGCCCATCATTGCTGGGTTGGTGAACGCCCCAGGTGCAAACATGGGAGCATAGTAGTACAGTGTAATAATGGGCCTTGCTGCACTGGACGTAGCCCCACGGTTAACGTGCAACGATGACCAGCACTCAAAGTTGAGGAACTGGGCGCTCCTCATAAAATGCACGTCCTGTGATTTCCAGATTGCAATCTTCACGTACAGTAGACCCCTCTGCTATGCACAAAGCGGCGTAGCCGTCTTAATCTAATATTGCACGGCTCAGCTTTGAAGAAACTCCCTTCCCCGCCTCTTCTGGTCTTGCCAGCTTCATACAACTGCACATTTCTCGCCCTGCTGCTGCCGCTGATTCGCATTGTGGAAGGACAGCCTCACTTAATTGTGACATAAAAAAAACACCAGACGCGTATCAAAGGTTGTTACGGGAGGTCTCCGAGGCAAAGGTACAGAGATAATCTTCAGAATTTCATTTCAGGACTGTTCGAGGCGCAAAGCCCTTTCCAAGCTCACGGGCTGATGTGTGTGACGTGTGTGCGTATGTGCTGGGGTCACTGTGATGTGTCTGCGTATGTGCTGGGTCACTGTGACCCGTTTTAGGAGTCGGTGAGTAAACATCATTTTCGTTCGCCCCGCGAGGCTTCTGGACTTTGTAGTGCATTGCCGCGATGCTGCAATGCAGCTAAAATGTTATTGCGCTGAAAATGTGGCACTGAACTTTTGTCTTGCAGTCTCTGCAGGTAAATTAAGATTTTAAAAAACCAGTGAGGTCTAATGTGCAAAGGCACTTTCTTGAATTCACACGGTCCTCCAGAAAGCAATTTGTGAATCATTAAATTGTCTATATTAAGGTGTGCCGCACTCTCAAGCGCAGTTTGCATTGTGTTGTGGAAACCGGAAAAATGCTTCGAGGAAAATCCAAATTGCTCCGAATATCCATTTACCGCGCTTAACAACGGAGTAGAAGCCAATTAAAAGGCTGCGTGAATAAAAAGCGGTGGCAAATCAATGCCAAGTTACACTGGCAACTGGGTAGTCCCATGTGCGGTGGTTCATGTGTGTAACGCCCATCTTTAAAGGGGGGGGCCGACGGGTCGGGTGGAGGTATAGTAGGTCGGCTGCAAACTTACCTGCACGTTCTCAATATTATCCTCATGCGCGAGACCTCAGGCTTCCTCTCGCGTGGAAATACTCAATGAGGAGATTGACACAGAAGCTCAAAGCAATATCCTTTCTGAAATGGGTATTGTTTTTAATACAGACGTGTGTGTATATGCCCCGAGTTCATTTCCCGGCCAAGACGAATGCAAGTAGCGAGTGATATCAACCCACACTGACCAGCATGGAGAAGTAACCATTGTTGCGTATTTCCCCAGGAAAGCCACACCGAGTCCAAACAACTATTGTCAAGGAGGGTCTGACAATAACAGTGAGATGTTTAGCCAAAAACAATGATATTGTATGTGTTTTAGCGTCGGGAGGAAGACCGTGTAGAACAGGGGCTGAAATAAACTCCACGCAGAAAGACGCCCGAGTCATGAATCGAACCCCGATGTATTTCTTGCTGCAGGTCACAAGTGTTATCACTGGCAAATCCCTACTGCACTTTAAAGGCAATCCATCATGACCTGCACAGGTAGAGTGGCCGTCATCCAGCAGTCAAATGATAAATGGATATACATTACCATGAGTTCGCTACGCATGTTTCATCATGCATACGTGGTGTACCAACCCCCACCCTCCCTCGGCGTGTGGGTTGGACGGTGGAAGCCCCCCCCCCACCCCGAGGCTGCGTGCGGTCGCTCTCACCGTACGGGTACTCCGTGCCGTGCCCCGGACCGGAGAAGAGCGCTGACGCAGTGCCCGCCGGCTGCACCGGGTACTGCGGCGTCTGGTTCACGTACGGCGGGCGGAACTGCACGCAGGACACAGAGCGAAAAGGTGGAGGGCAAGGCGCCATTAAGGGAAATGCGCGGTGACGTGCCACGGCAGCGACGGACACCGCAGCCGACAAAAGCAGAGTGCGCCGTACACCCCTCCACACCGTCACCGTTCCGATGACGTCTGCAGGTTGCCGGGTGGGGTCCCGTTCACCACCGAATCTCAGAACGTGCAAGCGGCTCGGCGTTAATTTTCTTCAGAAGCGTAGTAGCGCCGTTGTTTTTGAAGACATTGTACTTACTGCAGAGAACTGTAGCGGCACGACCGTACTCTACAACTGCTGGCGTCAAACTGTGGCACATGCCCCCAACCCCCCCTCCCTTGTGGGAGCCTCAGTACCGAATAGGTTTTTTAATTTAAGAATTATTCCAATTCAGTCCCGATGACCGATGACGCACACGCACATCATCGGAACGGGTGAAGTGGCGCGTGTCCGTGGGGTCCGCACTCTGCGGCCGGGAGAGCTGCCCGGGACCCTGATGGAGGAGTGCCTGCAAGAGCCTTGGCTTTCTCCGCATGGGACGCAATGTGCCGCAGGGAGACAGATTCTCACGGCACAGCCCGGGTGTCTGGATCTCCCATTCTCAGGCAACTGTTACCTTGCACTCCCTTGATATTCAATTATATCTCTAATGGTGGTCACAGCCCTGCGTCTTACTTCCCATCTATGCTTTTACAAATTCCTCCCCCTGCAATCCGCACATCCGTGCCGCAAATAGAACTACCCTCTCTTTTGCAATCGCTCACCAACCTCTGCTCGATCAGAGGTTTTGTTCCCTGCTGTGGTATCTAGTTGGCCAGTGAATACAACTCGACCACTCGACTGGGACGAGACCGAATGCTACACACCCAAAAATGCTTCATGTCGTTGCATTGCACCATAATCTACACCGACTTATATTTTATATCAACATCGAATTAATTACCGTTATTATTTTGCCCAAACAATGTTTATTCTGGGTCGCCTTGCAGTGAACGGAGATAGCATTGTAGTATTGTGGCACCGCATTGTATTGTACCACCGTGGCGGCCGCGAGAGCGCACGGAGAGAGACGTGTCGCAAAACCACCGATAGCGACACATTGAGCAAAGGTCCACACACACCAGAGCGCAGGCACGCAGCTCGACAAAGCTCCCTTCTCGTACGTATGTTGAACGTCTTTCGCACCGTACATAGCCAACCGTGTTAATTGGAGCGATTCACGCAATTAATATCAACACAGCCCACGGATTAGTGAATGAGTGTTGCCCAGTGAGGTAATTCTACCGCATTTCCCCAACTGGTTATTCATTCATCGGGATTATTCTGTACAGTCTGTGTGGAAAGCACTCTGGAAGGTTGGCGTGCAGCACTGAAATCACAATGTCCGTTTTGCACGATCCCTTCCATATGCTGTGCCTTAACAAAACTTAACATTCAACTATTCTACCGTCAACTTGAGTTTGCGATTAAGAACGTAAGTGTTGTTTCTCCCAATTAAGTTAATTCACAAAAATGTGCTCACTCTTCACAATTTAATAAAATAGCAAAAAAACAGAACCACTGAGCAATAAATGGCCACTTACATGAAGTGTCACGTTTAAAATGGCTGAGTGGACCTAGGGGAGGCCCAGAACCGGTTCCAATAATCGTCATTGGTGTTGGTGTCCGTGAGCAGGAATCGAACTCGGGTCACCAGGTTCATAGCACGGCACACTAACCACTACACTTCCACTCCCCCACATATTGATCTCACAGACACGCACAACTTTGTTAATCTCTCACCGTCCGTCCAACTTTCACAGAATCTAGTTGCAAGTCCCATCGTACAGCGTCCAGCGAGGCCTCATTCTTACCTTAAGAATTTAGGGGCACCGAGGTATTTCACCGAGGCATCTATGACCTTTGACCTCAGGTCAGATAAAGTGTCGCTGCATGCTAACGCACCATCACTTGAGTGCCGTCTGCTGGACAAAGTGTGCTACCGAGTCCGTGCAATGCCACTGGCTATACCAGTACCAGCGGCAGGCCAATCTCTGTGGGCAGACACTCCCTTTGTCAGTGGGGCAGGCAAGTGGCGGGCGTGTGTGACAAGTATCTGTTGCAGATCAGGAATGTATGTAGAACGTCTTTCACAGCATACGTAGCCACCTGTGCTAATCGGACGTGCGGGGGACGGACATACCCCCATCCACAGGATGTGCTCCACTCTCCATTGAAATATAAAGTGGGATCTAAGGTGGAGCCCATGAGGGATTACTACACGAGGCCTTCCTCTGATGTGCGCGTCCTATTTGCATGGATGGATGACTTTCACATGGGAACAATATATTTAACAAATTGGAGGTGCCCGGGTGATTTGGAGAGAGCAGTGGTTCTCGTTTAACTTTGCTGGGGGGGTGGGGGCTGATGGGACACCAAGGTCAACAAGCACGTTCCGAATGAAGAGTGCCACACAACTGTCAGGTCTCCAGCATCGTCGACAGGACCTCGTTCTTTTCAGTAACTCAATTGAGGTAACTCCACGCTCAGAAACAAAAACACCGTTAACATCCGCCATCCGCGAGTGAAAAGCAGGGTCGGTCAACACAGGAGGCGGCAAAGAAGTCCAAACAAGTTGGAATCGAGCAATTAAAACGTTACTCGACCAGCTGACACCGCAGCCGAGTAGAAGACATCCAGAAGTTGCTTTCGGTGGCCACGCCGCAGAAGTCGACAGAGCACCTCGGTGCCGCACGGCTCAACTGCGAAACCCAACGCCCCGTCCCTCCCGAGCCACGACGACGCGACACCAGGCAACGTCAACCAAACGCAGCAAACTTCGTCAGCTGAGAGCACGGCAACCGCTCCTACTTATAGGTTTACCAGAAGCGGCCAGCTTGCATTACTAAACCAATGATGATGTTGCTCCTTGTTTACGAGTTTAAATTCCTACGGCTCAATTAACCTGGAGGTTTATTTTTTTATACCCACCGCCCCACCTCTACATTAGGGAGTGGCGCGGTTCAGGGATGCTCCTCGATTTGAGATGGCACAAAGCAAAATCATCGCCCCTCACTGCCAGACTCACTCCCCACTCACAAGCTGGCTTTCAGTTGCGTTGTGCCACACGAGCAGTTTACACCAGGGGGTAAGCGTCCTCCGAGTGTGCGAGACACGATGCGACGCGAGGCGCTTTTCAGTTGCTGGGGCAATTAAGCGCCACATAAATGCAAATCGTAACATTATTATACAAGTACCCAAGGTGGTATTAATACTTGGTCTGATTTGGGTTCTTCGAGAAATGAAGAGTTCCCTGGCTCGTCCTGCAGAGACATTATCAAAGATCCACGCCGCCCGCTTCACAGCGGACGTTAAAGATCCCGTACAGCGATATTCAGAAACAGTAGGCCATGCGTCACTATTTTTCATGTTGCCAGGTAAGGCTCACCGAGCTACATAAACTCTTTTTCAGAAGCCACCTGGCCACAAATGATAGCTCAACAAAGTGGCTTATCACGTGGAAATGTATAGCAGTCAAATTCTCTAAACGCATGTTTCTGATTACAACCAGCTTCTACCAGGATCACCAGCAAAACTTCATGGTACTCGAATCGTAAATGTTGTGGGATTACTCTCCAACACACAAGTGTGCTGAACTAGTAACTAATTGGCACGTTTTGTGCACGTGATAAACCTTTCTAACTGGCTGTCGGGTGAAGGGTTTCACGTCATATTTATATTTAAGCCATCTAACCCAAAAAAAAACCTTTGTTATGAATAATATTGGTCATGAAAGCCTCCTACGTGTTAAGCAGCTTTATTATTAACGTGCACCACAGTACCTTGCGCATTTGCCGCGTCCTTTCCAGGCCTCACCCAAGATCGTCTGGTGGGCACGGGGGAATCTTAGGCACGGCTATACATAGAAGGGTTCTTGTGGGAAGCGTCTCACCTGCTTAACGGGGGAGGAGAGGCTGGAAAGAGGTGGCCCTTAACTCTTTTTTCACAGGTCAATCGATAAAATATATTTTTAAGAGGATAAAAATAAAGGGAATCGATAGGCGGCTATTTAAAAAAAAACTCTTCCTCCCGACTATAGATTAAGATGGTAACCATATATAGACGGGGGGTGGGGTGGGAATGGAAAAACATTTTCAAGAGACGTTGATGAAAATTTGAAACGAGTCAAAAATGCTATATACAGCAGAACTTTATCTGATCAATTCCATGGTGGCTGTGTGGTTTTATATTGTTGATGGTGACCTATTAATGAACACACATTGCTATTGGATGACAGCCAAAGTCGACTTTAAATGGTGAAATTTTACTGCAATTGTTTTTGCTGGAAACAAAGGTGTCGTCTACGTCGGCCCGGGTAACACACGGCACCGGGGAAGTAAAAGTTTGCATTCGGGTCTGCAACACGGATAAACTTTGGTTCACACCACGCTTGAAAAGTGTCCCTGAAACCCCAGCGACACTTGCTCTCATCTTGCCAAACGTCACCCCCCCCTGACACAGGAGCAGAGCCGATGAATGGCCTGATCCTCTATTTCATCTAATGTCAATTTTGGGCTTCTAAGATTCCTCGGGCTGCATCCAGTAACTGAAGACGCTTGCTGTATATAACCCTGTCGAGTGTTTTGGTCACTACAGGTGTGTTTTCCCAAAACAAAGACCCCCCCGTATCGCCTATAACAGACTGTTGGGGAAAGTGCTGTTACCGAGCATCTATGAAGGCCGACAGCACACACGGGAGTGGGGGGTGGACAGCACCACGCCCGGCCACCTTTGTCTCCCCAGTGGTGATGTTCACGCACCACACCAGGTACTCATTGGAGGCAGAGTCGACCTAGGGTAGATAATCGTCATTGGTGTTGGCCGTGAGTAGAAATCTACCTCGGATCGCTGGGTTCCGAGCGCAGGGCGCTAACCGTTACACACTGCTGCTCCCCACACACAGACACGGTACTCCATAACTACATCAGGATCGACCTCCCCGCAAACCTGTTATCCCCAATTGCCTTTCCATGACGCAATCCTCGCCCGTGCGCACACACGACTCACTCGAGCGCTGCTCCCGACGCCCCTTGCTCGGGAGCCTCTGGAGGCAACATCCGCTAACTCGAGGTGCGTCTCACTTAACGAGCACTCTTACTACAAAAATGTACGATTTAACGAGAATTCGCTATCCAGGTGATCCCCGACTTATGACGGCTCGACTTGCGATCCCCTACTCGTATCTACTACCGCTAACGGCTGCTACTGACGAGTCTGCACATGTCATGTGCTAAGCATCGCCACGCTCGTCGCCAGATGGCACTGCTTTGTATTTCCAACGTATGCATATGTACAGTATAGCCCATCTGTCTGAAGCTGCGCCTTGAGCGAACGCATATCTTTCGCAACGCCCTTCACTTTTTAGCAAATTTTCTTCACATTTTCAAAGATTTGCCTATCGCTTTGTCTTAGAAGAGGAAATGTGATGCACGAGCAGAAAAGTACTAAAGGATTTTCAAATGTGTTTGTGTTTACTTAAATGTTTGAAAAAGTTATTTTAAGCTACAATAGATGTTTGTTAGGGTTATTTTTATTCATTTTCGTGGTCAATTTTAGTGTTTTTATGGTATGAAATGGCTTTCCAGGAACGGAACCCCAATGTATAATATTGTACCTATGGGAGATGAGGGCTCGACTTACGACCGTTGTCCAGGAACCAATTCGGTCGTAGGTGCGTGGGGGGGGGGGTCACCTGTATCATGACCAATTGGAATCTCGACCAATTTGTTCACAAAACAAATGTTCGCGTAAACAAGCGATCGACAGCGTCCCATGGTGGCCGGGGGGGGGCGGCACCGTGGCCCGCAGATATGTTTACCAGCTGTGCTGCCTGCATGCGTGTCATTCGCCATGTGGGGGGGGGGCCTCGTGGTGGCACTGTCATGGGTGGGTGGGGGAGGCGTAACCCTGTCCCCCCCCGCCTCCAGTAACCCATTCACCCCCTCCGCAACGGGTAAGCCTGTCCCCCCCCCCGCCTCCAGTAACCCATTCACCCCCTCCGCCAACTCTGTCACGCCCCCCCCCCCACTACGGAACAACCCCCCCCACCCGGAGCTACGACCACAAGGGCCTATCCCAACCACTCCCTATCAATCCCTCTTGCTCTACCGTAATCAAAACTACACCACCGCTTACAATAAACAAAGTATTATTTGGGTCTTCTGGTACGTTCACGTAAATAGCTTCAAAGAAAATAACAAAAAAGCACGACGTTTCAATCGCAACAGAAGCGATCGTCATCAGGAAAAAGGGGTTAGCCTCTAAAGGCAAACTGTTTATAAAGGTTTAAAACGGGCAGGGTAGCTAATGTTAATGTCAGGTATGTTGCTGCTAGAGGTGATGGTCGTAGTGGGTAGTGATGGTGGTGGGCTTCCCCTAATTAAAGGGCTGCCAGGTCTAAAGTGTAAACATTACAGACAGTTATGACTCTGCAAACTACGCTGTGTCTGCAGCAGTAGTTACATTGGGGAAACTAAGCAACATGTCTCGGTCCGTGTTCATGAACATAAGGCAGATCTGAAACACGGTAGGACCAATACCTCAGCTGTGGCTGATCATTGTTTTAATGCGGTTGGCTCACGAAATTGATTTCTCTAAGAGGAAGCTGCTTTACAAACCCACACAGTGGCTTTTGTGTTACAATCCCAGTGGGCCAGGTTTGATTTATTTCTCTATAGTGCGACTTCCATTGCATTGGCTTCCATTACATTGACAGTTCCCTCCAGGCCCATGTAACCCCTTTGTGCAAAAAGAATATCGCTCTCCGTGTCACCTGTGCTGAACATCCTGGCCGAGGCCGTGAAGAAAGCACCATCTTTAAGGCAGTTGGGCCCGCTCCCGGCGCCGGTATACGCCTCGGTGCCAGAGCAACGCTTTGGCCTTACCAGGGACCTGTGACCACGCTTGGGCAGGACTCTTATAAAACCAAGCGACATTCTTGCCAAGTCATTGAAGCCTACCGCCGCTTCAGCCTCCCAGGGGTGGGGGAACTTCTACCTTTCAACAGAGGGCCGATTTAGAACCCACGGGTTACCCTCTGGCAGGGGCCATGCGTTGACACAAAACACCTCGGCGTTATCCATTAACAATGCGGAGATCACGACGACTTCACCCCCTGACTGATCGCACGAGTGCGGTTGCCTGCGCCTGCTGTCTTTATCTGGTCTAGTTTTAAAAGTGCCTTTAAGGCGCTTTACAGCAATTATACAATTTACGTGGGATGATAACGATTTGGGATGATAACGATTTGAAATGAAGACTTTGTTTATTCTTGACTTAACGCTTTCGTGACTGCAGGAATTCATATTCTCTGGGTCTTTCGGTAAAGTCATGCACGCTCACATAATAAAAAAAATACATATATAAAACACAATGATACGGTGTGGCTATGTTCCAAATCCCCAACTTTTGATGTATCTGCACCATCTGCAGTCCCCCAATTGGGCTGTTTGAACTCTCCATCGTTCCGTCACGCACACTTACCCGCCAGGCTCCACGAGGAATGGCACCCGTGTGCCGGCGCCGAGGGTGAGCCAAGCGCGGGACTATGCAGGGGAGAACAGGAGGAGGGGGTGCGCTGCGGAGACGGCACGCACCTGGTTCTGTGTGGTGAAGTAGTACTGGGGCCCCGTGCCGGTGGCCTGCGAGTACTGCATGCTGTACGACAGCGGGTTGATCATGGTGGGTGCAGCCTGTTGCGTGCCGGGCTGGTACATGCCGGGTGCGGGCGCCGGGGCCATGCTGCGCATGTTGGGCTGGCTGCCGGCCACGCGGGGTCCGCTGTTTTGGCTCACGGGCCTCGGCTGCATGAACTGTGGTGGGGGGCGGCATGGGGAGGGGGGGGTAGCACGGGGAGAGAGAGGGGGTCGGGACACGCGTGCACAGACACACCGACTTAACACGGCGCCCCCTCTCTTGGCGACACTGCACCTTCGACCCCGTGCAAGGCCTACAATGAACGGGTGGGTGGGAGAGGCGTCGAGCTCTCTCAAGGCGCATTTCCAAAGCGTGAGTTCGTTTCGGAATCCACCCATTTACAAGGAGAGCAGGGTATACAGCTTCGTGTGCGAGTAGAAGAGCAGCTGCTTTGTTGACTCGATCTGCACAGGCCCTCCGCTCAAAATGGCCGACGTGTAACCGCTTCCGTGCGCTATGCAGGACGGGGAGGACAGCACTGTTCCTGCTGCAATTGCAGACAATTTGGGCCAAGGTGTTGCGATGCACGAGGAAAGGCGAGGGGGGGGGTTGGTCTACAGTAGAGGGGCGATTGCTCCGAGTCGGTAAACCTACGCATCAATCAGCGATTGTAAACTGCAATAAAAACTCCATGACAAAAGGTGCCAAGGCTGAGAGGTAGTCTAACAGCAGGCACACGGTCTACGCCTTGCCCAACTGTAGAACTGTGATGAATGTGGGGTCCAAAAACTTTCAACGTGGCTTCTCAGGAAGTTGTTCCAAATAGAAGTCTTTCCCACGGTATAATCCTTACGACTCCCATAGTCTCGCTTCACCAATCGCAGAGAAGCAAATGTGCCCGTCCGAATACACAACCACGTGAACGTTATTACCTTATCGGAACGTGTGCATTCACCTCCACGTAGTCCTCGTCACTGCCAGTTGAGGCATTCCCCATCCAATGAGGGGAGTCTGTTTTACTCTGCCACACAGGCCAATGGGGTACCCAGTATATGCTGCCAAAAGCGACCTATCAGTCCGGCTAAACAATCGTATATACACGTGTGCAGCCATAACGGAGATATATTTTTAAAACATGACTACGGTTCATATACCTTGGCCTTTTGATACAAAAAAGTAATCTCTAACTGCCATATTTCATTTCAACCACGACATTCAAATGAAGTAAAAATAAATGTCAAACGAGGAAAATTAATAGACTCATTCTGACAAGAACGCCGACTATCCTAAGTCACAATCGGCAACGTTTAAATGCTCGCATCAAAATTCTGGCCACAGCTCAAGCTCTATACTCTGACCACCCTGGAATTAGTTCTATCATTCTAAATACCTCCCCCCCCCGCCCCACTTCAGTCATGTGGCGTTTCACTTGGGTGCCACACAAAGGCCACCAAAACTCCAAGCTGCTGTCAGCGTGTCAGCACTCTCGGCGACAGCGCCACGCTCGCGCAAAGCACCTGCAAATTAGCCCGATCCCTCTCGTCGAGCAGCATGCGATCTCTTAAGAGCCAAAAAGTTCTACGAGGAAACCTCTTTTTCAGAGAGCGGCAGGGCCGGCAGCCGAGCGTTTCGGAAAAAGTACTTGGCGACAAATAAAAAAAAAACTCCACTCGTGCCGCATGGACGGCCGCCCCAGAGAGCGGAGTGCCGTGAAACGGTCGCCCGTCGCGACGCCGCACCGCAAAATTGACAGGGACAAACGCGCGCAAAAAAACGCCGCACCAGCACTCGTGAGATGCGACCGCTTGCACGAGGCTCCCTCGTACGGCAAACGGGGCAAGCGTGGTGCCGACTCGTGGCCGACGCGCCACTTCGAGCTGCCGCAAGGCTCCCAGCCCACGACAGCCAGCCGTGCTAGTTCGCAAACCAATGTTTAAAATTTGCTGCCACAGCGTTTGGGACATTTGCACACTCGTGCAAGTGCACCCATCCATACATGACAAATCCCAGAGAAGGATGCATTCGAGATTATCAACCTCATCACATTCGTGATTTTTACCATTCAGAAAATCAATTTATATATCTTGGGGAAAAAATAATTACGCTGTCACAGATTTACAGTTTGAGATTTTCAAATATTTTCTCATAAGTCAATATCAAGTACTGTGTCTATATACACAAAATCACATGATAAACCTAATGGAGTACGTAGAAACAGGAGAAGCAAATGCAGAATAGTTTTAATCAATGGACAGGAAACAGAACTACCAGGGAACTTATCAAGGCTATGCAATCATCTGCAAGTCTCAAGAAACTCCAGCTCGTAATAGGGTATTATTTCGCTTTATTGAAAATGTATTGCTCACTCGGCATATGGGTGGCAGAGTGGTGCATAGTAGTAGCCGCTCGTGCCTCAGCAAGAAGGGCCTGGGTTCGATTCATCACCTCGGGTGCCTTTCTGTGTCGAGTTTATATTTCCTGTTTCTGCATAGGTATATCCCCCTCACTTCTCTGCGTTCTCCAGTTTCTTCCCATAGCAAAAACAAAGATCCCTCGTGTAGCCTTAACAGACTGCTTGGACGAGTGCTGTTAGTGAGCAGCACCTTTGAAGGCCGGCACGGCCAAAGAGGGGGTGGGTGGCCAACACCACGCACGGCCGCCTTTGTGTCCCGAGTTACGATGTTTACACATCGCACCAGGTACTCATTTGAGGTTGAGTCGACCTAGGGGAGTCCCAGGACCAGTGTTGGTCGTGAGCGGGAATCGAACTCGAGTCGCTGGGTTCATAGCGCAGCGCGCCAACCGCTACACTACCTATCCACCCTAAAACGCGCAAACACACATACACAAAGTAAATGGTATTGGCCAAAACATCCCAATGCCGAAATATTACCCACAAGTGACTACTCAATTGGGACTACACGTAGCAATGTCGCCCCACTGTGACAACTTGGTTAGGACCCGATGCCACAAGTTGAGGCTTTTCTGGGTAAACAAGCATCATAATGGAATATCTAACAAACGCATCTTATCTTAACGGAATTTATATAGGCGCCTTAACCAAGGCGCTTCAGAGAATTAAGAATGGTACAATGTGTGCGAATGTAATGGTAGAGATGAGGTGAATTAAATAGAGGAGAGGAAGCAATGGGGCGAATCTGTGTGAATTCGGTGAAAGTGAAATTGTTGAAGGATGATGACGATGATTAAAGGATTGAATGAAAGGTGAATGAATGATCACATCATGAGAATATGAAGATGGAACAGGAATGGTGGTGGTGGTTGTTATGAGGGGGGGGGGAGGATGTGAACAAAATAAAATAAAACCTTTTTAAAATATGGGATCATGTAAAAAAATAACACTTCAGCAATACCACCTCAATGCACCTCACAAGAAGCAAAGCAAGATTTGGACAAGTGCTACATCTGACCCAGGTGGGTGCCAAAAATTCAGACAACATTGAGACACTCCCATAGTCAACAAATACAATTATATATATACTCCTGAGGATAAGCAAAGTGTTAATTAATAAAGGGTCATTACCTGGATTGGCCTGAATCCTCCCTTTGAGAGAAGAGCAGGCAGGTGTGGGGAGGAGGGTGGGGGGCAGGGGGTCACACGGCAAAGGAGAGGACAGACAGGAAAGAGAAGCCACAATGAGACCCAAGCACCGCACACACAAACAGCGAAGCAACGCACAGCACGCGGCAGCGTGGCGCAGCGGGTTGAAATCCTGGCAACAAGGGCACTGGGTTCCCCTCTCATAGCTACAAAAACACCTTCCAAATCACTCGATTGAGATTACAAACAGCAGCAACATTGCCCCGCACCTCCGAATACAAAAACACTTGGCAGGACCTTCTCCTGACAAAAAGGGGTCTCAGCGAGGTTGTTTTGGGAAAAAAAAGCATAAGGGGCAGCAGCACCCTCACTGGGACCGAGTATTCACCAAACGATTCCTTACGCTGGAAAAAAGTGAAATTCCCAAAGCATTGCTCACAACAGCCCCTTTTGCAATGCAGCATGGTCAGCCACAGCGGTGGCCAAACACAATCGTGATTTTGGTCTGCCTGCTTTGACAAAAACGTTTCCAATTGCACCACCAGTGGAGGGTGACGTGGAAAATAAATCACAAAGCCGAGTTTCTTCCTCTTAAGACACTGCCCAAACGTCTCCTCTCCAAAACGTCACCTCGCGCAACATGCAAGAGGAGGTCGTGGGTTCAATCCCGACTGATGCCTGCTGTATATTTGGAGCTTGCATGTACTTTGCACTCTCATGTTTTTGTACTGTTTGCTGTTGTAGCGTTCTTACCCGCCCATACTGGATATCAGTGAAAAAGAGCTTGAAAGCTCATTGGATTCCTGCAGTATATTCTTATTCTGCATGGTGTCTCGACTAGACTCACGTTCCACACCAACTTAAACGACGGCTCAGCCAACAAACTCATTCAGATGCAATTAGCTACTCATTGCCTCACTCGCTGCCATGGTAGCCCTGCCCACAATGATAAAAAAACTAACTGCACCTCCAATTCGCACGGTTGGCTACGGACAGTGCGAAAGTTCAACATACGCACAACCTCCCACTAATCTAGAATATTATTTCTTTTGGTTTGGACTTCATTTCCCACAGTTTAACTCTAGACCTGCACGTTATGTGCACAAGGCCTAGTTGTTAGGCACATGTACGCTGTTCACAGGCCTTATTTTTTTTCCCTGGGTATGTATTTCAACGGCCTATCTCCAGCTAAACCCGAATTATTTTTCTCCCGTCTGGCTTCCAAAGCCTTTACTGTAGGTGTCACACTTTTATAATTTGTATCCAATGATAATAATGTCTATCACTTACAATACATAACTGCCATTACTACTGCAGCAACCTTGGGGTGCCAGTGCATCGCGATACCAAATCACAGAGCTGCTGGACTATTGCACCCTTGCTTCAAGTCTTGCATAACAGGGAGAGATACACATTTTGCTAGGGTTTAGACATTTTCATGCTCGAAGACAAATACACCAACATTACGAACGGTTGAGTTACTGTCGTTGCATTCGGGGCTAAAGAACTGGCAAGACTATTGCCAACCTACAGAATCAATGGGAGTCTCGTGATGCATCGGGGATCTTGGGCAGCTGAAACAAAGAGCGAGAGAGACGGGAGCTGCATTTCAGACAGGACTAAACATTTGATTTGACGAGCCACCTTCCTGACCACACAATGGTATATTGGTGGATTCGGTGCACTCATCGTTAACGAATTTAACACCGGCTGATGGCTCGTGCATTTGACTGCTCGCCTCAGCCGCTCCCCGCCGACTCAAGCAGAGTAGAGCTGCATTGCGCCACCTGGGCTGACGCATCAATCGGCGTGAAAGGGAAGCATGGGACACGACACCTCACTCGCCGTTAATCCCGAGGATTTGTCACGTGCAGCTGCAACGCGGCATTCCTGGCCACAGCTCGCTTGCTCAAGGACAGGCCAACCGGTGGGCCGTCCCGCCGGGGCCGTGCGACACTCTGCCCCACTTACCCCACCCAACTTGACTCATGACACAGGCCGATAACAAACACGTGTCTAATGTATGCATGCCGAACTTATTTCGCACCGTACGGAGCCAACCGAGCTCATATACTCGTGCTACGGTGCCTTGTGGAGACCGATCACTTCTGGAGCTACTGCAGTCATCAGCATCGTGACAACGCAGAAACTCCGTGGCATGGACTCCAAGGAAATGGCATTTGCAGTCAACTCAGCAGGTGGCGCTACTGTGTCCCACAGAGTGGCTCAACACATCCTGATGGGCCGAGTCCCATCTTAGCTCTCGGGTCATATGCTAGGCTAATTAAGAAAAAATCAAGTGTTTACACGATAGAAACATTGTCCTGTCACGAGATGTCAACTACCTGGCCTAGTATAGAGTGGGTCGTGGATTCGATCCACTTTGTTGAGCTATCATTTGTGGCCAAGTCGCTTCTGAAAAATAACTATATAGCTCAGTGGGCCTTACCTGGTAAAATAAAAATGCATGAATATAATAATAAAACACTAACTCAATGCACTTGACAATCTGTTCTAAACATGAGCAGCTTCCTGGGTTTGAACCCAGATTTCTGGCAGTGACACGGGAACCTTTAAAACAAACCACCTTAACATCAACATTTGTTCACAACCCATGGTGCAATTATATTTTCTGTCCAAGCATCCGGATTTTCTGAAGAAAATCTCCTTTGAGAGGCTGCATAAATGGCATAATGCGAAGAGTGGAAGCCGGGGAAAGGGGAATGCGCACGTGGTATTACACGGGGGGACCAATGGAGGCAGGGCAAGTGGACCAGAGGGCACGATAGAAATCGAGACGCATGGGTCACAATGTGCAAGTGGGTGGGACACGCAGGGTGCCGAAACGGAACACAGGTGCAAGCGGAGGACAAACACCGCTCTAGTTATATCGAGGGAAACGCAAACCCTGCAGCACTGGGGGGGGGGGGGGGGGCACACTGGGGGGGGGGCAGCACTCAAGAGCTTCACGGAGGGATTGCCTTTTAATGGCTGGAAACGGTTGGAGAGGGAGCCCGAGCATCTCAACCCACGGTGCACGCTGGCTCCCACCTGGTGAAGTGAAATGTTGCTTGAATAATAATTCACGGTCATTCACACGATTTTACGCATGCCAATAGATCGTGCGAGTGCATTACCATCAAAATTACCACCACCCCCCATCATCATCATGACCACCACCATCATGACCACAATCACCACCACAGTGTTGGCTACATACGGTGACAAAGAAGTTCAACATGCATACCCTCATTCCAATGCTCCACGAGTCCTCGACACTCAATGCCAAGAAACCCCTTCTCCACTGCTTCACATGCCCGCTGTAGATACCAATAATCTGCAACCCTTAATGAACTCAACTCCATCCCAAATTATTCCCTTCGGTGCCTTTCAAGCTACAAAATGTCAGCATTATCCAGTTCTGACATCAATACGCTTAAACACCATTTGGAAATCGTCAAAAGCTTTAAAGTTATATACGGACATTTAAAAATGCAGTGACATCGTTCCCAAATTGGAAGCTTGTGCCTAATGCATCAGCATCGCTCGGAACAGGCATGGCCACGTTTAAACAGCTGGGGAGACTGGACCACTCACAACAACAACAACTGTTTTGCTTGGTGAGAATCAAGAGGGGCAGCGCAGCAAACACCACTCTTGTCCTCCACTTGTTGTACTGTACTTCTAAGCTCGCATGTATCCCCCCCGCCCTCTCCCAACCGCTTTCACCAACCCACACTGTCCAACGTTAAGTCAAATATCCTGCGTGAGCCGCATGGTGTGAGGGGGACCTCATCATCCAGTGGATTGACAAAGGGCTGTACATACATAAACACTGCATGTACGTTTCCTCCAATTGCTAAAATAAACCATAATGTCCACTGGTCTTGGCCAAACATCCCCAATGTTGAAAATTTAGCTGAAAATGTCCTAAACTTGGATTACACACAGCAACATTGCCCTCTACTGCAAACACCTGGCAGCACCCTCCCTTAGAGAGAGTCTTGAGGATTTCCCAGGTAAACAAGTAGTACCAAAAAAACTAATACAAATCATGTGTCTCACCGTAGCAGTTTTGTCCTGCGAAAACATGTACACGTGTGCGAAAAAGTCTCAAATAATCTCACAGCACAGACCATGTGTGGAGGGAACGAGGGTCACAGAGCCAGCTTCTCACCCAACGGCCGACAGCTTTGCACAAGACATGCGCACACTGCCAAGCTAGGAGAATTGCAAATCTTTGTCTGGATCACAAGAGCTGCGAGCAAACGGCGATTCAACTCGAAACCCTTGGTCACTTGATTACAATGCACCGCTGGCCTTTTCGGCGGTCACGTAATCTTTCTAACGCCTGTAAAATTGTACGATTACTAAACAATTGCCGACATAGACCGTGACTAAAGCCGTGTCTGCCTCCGTAATTATTTGGCACCATGTCATTTAGAGCTGGCAAGAGATTAGGTTGTCGTGCGTTTGCACGCGCACGCACACACGTGCTCGCACACACGAGCACGCGTTGCATATTTTCACACGGGCCTGGCTACCGTACAAAATGGGAGCGAATATGCACACTGTATGATCGTGTTCACATGGAGTGTAGGACAGACCTCAACAGATGCCGCTTAAAAGCAACGTTGACATTTCCAAACACGTGTGCAGTCTGGATATTAGAGTGGTAACCAACCTTAGCAGCGTTAATACCGTGGGGGCTCCACACGGCTAGCGGCTTGTCAAACACAAGTCCGTTGGAAATATAAACGATGTGGCGTGTCATACCTTGGGTGGTCAAAATAGACTTGAGAAACGCATCATGGTGTTTTATTCGGCGCTAAACATGTAAACAAGTTAGATGGCAGTGCCAAACAAGAAAGTAATCATTAGCTGGGCCAATCTTCCTCTTAGGCCCCACATAGGGTGTGATGAGACATCACTGCAGGGTTAACTATTTGCTAAACGCTCACTAAATGTTATACATTTGTAGTGACATCGCGGACGTCACTGTGTAATGCCGGCCCGAGAGAGGCACGGCGTGCGATGTATTGACATCGCGGGCACCACGTATGTGGGTGCAGTACCGGCCCTGGAGGGGCTCGGTGAGTGCTGACTGACAGCGCTGGATGGCACCACGCTCTGCGTGCAGTGCCGACCCCTACAGGACAGGTCGTAAGAGTGCCGGCCATGGGAATGGGGTTAAACTAAGGGCCATTGCACTCTGGTTGACCGCGAAGGACACGTGATTGGTAAAGTCTACACAGGGCCCCCAAGTGGGGGCGAGGGGTGGTCACGTGTCAGGTCCGAGATCCTGCTAGAAGATTCTGGAAGGTGGTCGTGGCCAAGGGTGGAGCCAGCCACGCCAGAGGCATTAATAAATGTTGATTTGAAGCTTTCGTGACTGCAGGAATCCAGTCTTTGGTTCTTTCGGTAAAGTCACGTAGGTAGAAAATTAAATAAAATAGACCACAACGTTTTGGCGCAACACAAGCGTCCGTCATCAGGTGGGAAAGCATGGTCTGCTGCTGATGCATACTGTTTTAAAAGTCTGCAACAGTCTGCATCAGCAGCAGACCATGTTTTCCCACCTGATGACGGACGCTTGTGTTGCGCTCGAAACGTCGTGATCTATTTTATTTTATACCTACGTGACTTTACCTAAAGAACAAAATAGTAGTAATAAATGTTTTGCCTCCAAAGAGTACGTCTGCGACTCGGTTGAATCCAAAACATATTCATGAAAGCCTGATGACACAAGCCCAAGCGATGCAGAAACAGCAACACGAGCCAATGCTTACTTCTGATGTCATCACCACGGAGATGTCCCCACGCTACTCACAAGGCTCCGTGGGAACTAAAAACTGCCTACAGGCGGTACCGAACTCACGCCCGAATGCACTATCAATTTGATATGTTGGATTGCCAGAGGTGCGCGCTTTTAAAAGCAATCCAACAAAACACAACAAATAAAATCAGCCACCTGCTGGCTGCATAACAAATGTATACAATACCAAACCGAGTTAATCACAATCATTTTTGGCTTTTTTTAATTTCAATTTGGTGAATGGCTGAGCTTCCCTATACTTTTTACTGTTGTGTTTGTCTCGTTTGTTCTTGTCACTTTCTGACTTGCCCCTACTTGACATCTGTGAAAAAGAGCGTCATAGCTCATTGGATTCTTCCAGTATAAATAAAGATTCTGATTCTAAAACATTTGACGAATGAACAAAGTGGAGCCTGTGATGCGTTGATCCCTCCACCGACTCATTCCTATAATGAAGAATTAACCAAATTATATTTAGGGCAATGCCGAGCCAAGACGCCTCTGGAGCAGCAACCTCGCCACACCTGGCTGCAGCAGTATCCACGTGTTCCTCCTCCTCCATACAACACACAGCACCCGTGGTGGTGGTGACCAGAAAAAGCTCACGTGGGCTCATGTGCCAATCAAATAAAACGAATCTATTTTAATTTTACCAGGTAAGGCCCAGAGCTTCATAGCTTTCTCAGAAGCGACAAGGCCATCACATTCGAAATGGAGGGAAAAACCTGGAGGACCCAGAGAAAGTCCACGCAACCACGGCAAGAACAAGCAAAATCCAAATAGACATGCATCAGGGTCGGGATCGAACCCACAACCTCCTGAATACCAGATGAGGAAGATGTTAAACAAAATCACCTCACCAAGCCTTTCAAAGCACGTGTTGGATGCAGTATAAATGTTAACTTTATTGCTGATGGTTAAACGATTCAACATCTATGACAAATGACCCTTTGATTAAATAATTATAGTCCCATGTTAAGATCTCGCACAAATGAAAACCTATTCAATACTCGTCATTTCATCTGATAATAATTTCACCATTCATTCACAGCTCATTTGTGGACATGGGCAAAAGAGAAAATGCCGCGGACTTAAATAACCATGACTAAATATTAATGCCATAAGAGCCTTTACACCGTATCCTTAACCTCCAGAGTACATAACGGTGACACGTTGCAAATTGCATTTAATTTTTATTCACACGCATTTCCCATAAGTGCTCAAGTGGCCTTCTTAGGTTGCTACATCACAGGGAGCTTCTAGCCCCTGTGAAGATCTAGATGGGTGGCTCACAAAGGAAGGCCCCAAATTAATTTCCTTTCAGACAACTGGTGCAATTAATCTCCCCCTGAGGATTATTGTCATCTTGGCCTACAGCAGCCGATCCCACAGGGGAAAGCCCCTCTCTCTCGCTCAATCACCTCTCTCTCGCTCCATCGCCCACACCGGACCCCTAACAGCCCCAGCTTTTATTTTACCAATTAAAAGCTCAGCTTGGTTCGAGCGTTCACAAAGAGGTCTCCCCCCATTTCCCACAAACACAGGGCATTCTAAAAAATATACACCATCTGTCATCATATTATATATACACTGTACGCACAGAAACTCTAACACACGCTTAACACATTGGCTAATACGAGCTTGGCGATGGTGTCATGCCCAGAGAGAAAAATGTGAATGTAAACTAATTCATCAACCCAAATTAAACAAAAGTCACGTGTACATTGACTAGCGGTAATCGGGAGAGAGGAATCCTCGGCTTTGAGAGAGCTTACCTGCTTCTCATGCTGAGGCCATCACAGCTGAGAGACTCGTCCAAACACCCACTTACTCAAAAGCCACACTCAGCAAAAACAACGGGTGCTCACAGGTGATCATTAACGCAACCTAACCTCAAGCGATCAGTCAGCATTAGTGGTCTTAATAGATATTTCAGCCGTAAAAATTGGGGTTTGTAGAGAAATCTCATTTATATAAAAAAAATCATGTGTCCGGGGATAAAGTAGAGAGTTAATAACGCATTGCAGTCCTAAACACTTGCCCTGATCATGCTGCCATGCTAACGTGGGCATTGGCTTCAGCAGGCGGCCGGTAAACAACATCGCATGGTATGTGCAGCCTTACGGCCCGTGGTCCACGTTCAAATTGGGACACTTGGCGAGCGAGAAATGCTACCGCTCGGCAACGGGGTTTTGTATTCATGGGCAGTGGGGGGCTCTAGAATTTCAACGACCGCGATCGCTCACTTCAGTTTTTATTCAATTGTTTGATTTGAACCGCTTCCCCAGTCACCGACGAGACGCAGCTCGCACCGCACAAAAGGGTGCCGACAGACGTCCACCCACACAGGCAGTCAGCCAGTGCACAACAACCACGTGGGTCTTTGATGAGAAACCCCCACTTTCAAATCAAGGGATGCTCTCCGAGCAAAAGGCCAAAGGTTTCACTGCCTCACCCCCTTCCTGTTTCTGAGTTTCTGAAGGAGGCCTTTGCTTGCCAACTCAGCCAGCCTTTCCTTCTCCCCATTACCTGAGCGTACGGTCATGGTCGCATCATGCCTACACCATCGCAGCATTCAGCAGGTTTAAGAGGCAGCTGGGTGCTTCGATAGGGTGGTGCGGGATGAGGAGGGTCAGAGGGAGGGTTATTAGTACCTGGTGGTGCAGCGCACGGGAACCATGTGGGAGCTTTATTCCAGGGAGCACAAGGGGTGGGGGCAGGTGGGGGAGAGAGCAGAGGAGCCAGGGTAACGACAAGGGCAAGAGAACACCACAGGTAGGAGGACAGAAGGGGGTGGAACAGGTGGGAACAGGATTTAAACCACTTGTCACAAACCTCTTGGAAGCGCTCGAGAGAGCAGGTTAGTTACGCAGCGCATCACAACCACACCGTACGCACACCTGTGGGAACGCCGCGACGACGGCAAATCCCGTTTGGATCAAACCATAATGTCGCTGTGACGCCATTACAATGCCATAACACCGTTTTAACCTGTGGAAAAGACAAAGCCACTTCTCGCTCTCAGACCTGGATTCATGCGACTGGGTTTCTGGTTGCGGCAGAGACCGGGCAAGCCATCAGGGGGAGCCTTAAACAGCGGAGCTTAGATCGAGCCAGTCATCTCTCCGGCCCCATGAGCTCGTTACATGACACGTACGTGCGCACCCACTTTGTCAATTCGCTGCTAGCTGAGGGCCTTCCCGCACCGTGGGTGTTAGTTGACATACTTCACCACGCTGGTCAGTGAACATGGCGGACATGGGAAGCCAAGTACAGCACAACAGTGGAATTTCCTGCAGTGCCCTCTGCTGTCCACCACGAAGGCCTGCAGCCCGATGGTAACTCCGGGGCGAGTAACATCTTACCACCGTGTGCGCCACGATGGCGAGATGTTAAATACCTCACCTGGTATACAGGAGGCTGTGGGTTCGATTCCGACCCTGACGCCTGCTGTATATTTGTAGTTTGCATGTTCTCCTCGTGGCCGCTTGGATTTTTGTCCGGGTCCTACGGTTTTTCCCTCCACATTTAGAATCTCCATGCATTTATAGTATTTGGCTGCTATAAATGTCCACGTGATAAGATACTTCATTGTAGCTATCTATTGTGACCAGGTCACTTCTAAACACAGAAACTAAGCAAACTTGAGCCTGGATAGCACTCACATGGGCGACCACCACGCACAAGCTTGACTAACATCATCCTTTGCCAGTATCAAAATATGAGAATAGGTTTTCACCTTTTCCTGGCAACAAAAAAGGTGTTGAGATGTTAAAACACCAAACTGAAACCTTTCACAAGGAACGCCTTTTGGCGTCCTCTGGTCCAACACCGTTCAAGACTATGCTCGAAAGAAAGCTGTCTCTGGTATGGACCAATCAGTTTCAAAGAATGCATATATATTCAGAGTATGTTTTTTGTTTGCATTCTGACCACAAGTATTGTGGTTAATGCAGAAAATGATTCCTTGTAAAAGGTTTTAGTTTGGTGTTTTAACACCTGTTTTGTTGCCAGAAAAAAGGGGAAAACCTATTCTCAAGCTTGACCAACTTTTGTTATCTGATTAAGACTGAGTGCATTTTCGGCGATTTGGTCATCGGCGCCGCACGGTTTAGGGAATCCGTCCGTGTTGTGCCACTGCTCGCGACAGGGAAGCCGCTGCGAGTAGCAGGCACGGGATCCTGCTGGCACAGAGCCGCATTTGGACCTTCACCTTGACGGTTGCGACGCTCGCTCTCCGTGCAGCGAGATCACCGCACGGTAACAAAAAGCAAATTGCAGAAGTCGCCTTACAAGCGTGCTCCATACAGACGGCATCAGCCCCTGGTGTGTCACTATTTTTCAACAAAAATATCTATGCTTATTGGTTCAGGTGCAGCAGCTCACTAAAGAGATTACCTTCTGGGTGCTAGGGATGCACAATGGAGAGCCAAACTAGGGGCAGTAGGTGGGTCGCGTGAATGTACGTGACACCAGGGGTCACAGGACTTGGCCTCCGCTACAGTGATTGAAAGTCTAAATTAGTGGAGTCTTGCTACATACACCAAGTTGCTCAGTCACGCATGCCTCGATAATAATCCCCACACCTCCATGTGCATAATTCTCATCTGCGGACTGCAACGTTAAAACAATTCCCTCTACATCTCCCAATTAGAAACGGCCCCCATCCACCACGTGACATTCCTCGCACGGGTGTGGAATCCATCTTGAACAGAATCCTTTTCACCATCACGCGCTGCTGCTTCGCACACCCACACTGCTGCAATGCGGCGCCCGGACAAACGGCAACGCCCCGGTCGCTCAATCAATCGCGCACAATGCCCCAGGAATGTGCGCGTGCGAGCTCATTCGGCCAGGGTGAGGGTCATCACACCTTGCCCTGCTACCCACCCAGTCTTCAGGGGATTGGCACTAACCTAAATCGGCACCATCGTCTCTCCACCGCAACAGCCAAAACCACCAGGCTCATTCAACTCGACTTCGGCGGCGTCAAGATGTGCACGATCCAGGAGGATAGGTTTGGGGAAAACACCACGCTGCTCACGGCTACTGAAACCCCTTGTGAATCGGGTGCCCAAGCCTTCAGACTTTGCGTCACTGAAAAAGAGCTATATAGCTCAGTGGACTTAGTTTTTTCGACATAAGCTAAGCAAAATCTTTAGCCTGGAAAGCGCTCGCATGGGCGACCACCACGCACAAGATTGCTTTGCTTCTGTCATCTCATTTGGTCATCGACGCCGCATGGTTTACGGGAATCCATCCGTGTCGTGCCACAGCCTGCGACAGGGAAAGCCACTGCCGCCGCCCACAGCTGTTACTCCACGGGACACTTGGAATGCACTTGGGGGAGTGTTAAGAAAATATTTGAGAGTCAACATGGAACACGCCGCTAATTAACAATGGGTAATTGCTGCATTTTTCAACGTTCAGACGTGGATTAGTATTTTAAATATTTAATGTTGATTTTAAGCGGGATTTAATTATTTTCTAATTCTCAATATGGTTTACATTTTAACGGTTGTTGTCAGAATACAGCGATGTTTATATCCGGTCAAGAGAATAAGTTGATGGAGACTGGTTTCTGGAACGCAAGTCAGCAGCCATGTGTCCACACGTTTAGGTCCCAGCGGAAACCAACGAACATCACCTACCCCACCGCTATGTGGCACTCTCTCATGCTCCGTCGACTGCCTGATTGTTTAGCACTGTATAACCACTACCATGTGGCTCTCTCGATTCGCACTCGTGCTCTTTGCAATGCTGGGGGGGGGGCTCAGTGCTACGCCACTGGGCAAGAGTTTCCCAAGCCATCAAACGACGTGTCATCTGTTTATGAGTTTATGCATTCGTTCCTGAAGTGTTGCATTTTGTTCAACATTTAATCCACACAAACCATTAAGGAGAGAACACCAAAGCACATTTAGAACTCCCAAAACGCTTGAGGAACCATCTGCATTCTAAACCAGAAGCCACTAAAGCGACAACACTTCAGGTTACGCACCCCAAATATCAACTAAAAGAGCACACACACCGTATCAAGTACAACCTTTTAACACGTGTATCCATCACAATAACGAGGAGGTCTGGCTGGCCAGAGCCACCGCAGAATATTAAATGAGACACGCGCTCCCGCATCGTGACGACGACTGTACCCTTGTCACCCGCATCCACTTATTATAAGCGCCGTCCTGAGAATAATCCCCGACATGTCTTAATCACGCCCCTACCATGAGCGTTCTCGTGGCTCCCATTCCCCCTGACGTCTTACGCAATGCGTAATCGGCCAAGGTGCCTCATTTCAAGGAGATAAGACGAGCAGAAGCAGGCTCCGTGCGTTTGAAGGCAGGTCTCGCAAATTCAGGGCAAGGTTGAAGGAGCACGGTGTAATTCGTGGCTGTAGACTTAATGTGGCCAAATGGAAATACCGTGAAGTCCGTGCCATCTGGGGCACCACGATGGCGAGATGTTAACTACCTCACCTGGTATACAGGAGGTTGTGGGTTCAATCCCGACAAGACACCTGTATATTTGGAGTTTGCGTGTCTCTCTCCTTGGTCGCGTGGATATTTCTCCAGGTCCTCCGGTTTTTCCCTCCATATTTAGTAAACATGCGTTGGGAGCATTTGGGCGCTATCACTTTGTTGAGCTATAATTTGTGATGGCCACATCGCTTCTGAAAGAGCTATATAGCAGTTTTCATAGTTTTAGTTCCGATTACAAGACATCAGGACAGGCACCAAGCTGCTTGAGCCTCCCTGCTGTGTGTGTGGGGCAGGGATCAAACCAAATGTCTCTACTGCCAACAGATGATTCACATTACACACATTCCTGCTTGGGACTGGAATTTGTTTACATGCCACACCCCTTCCAACCCCCACCCGAGTAATCAAAGCATCCCCTGCAAGCATCCAGAACTGTAGCCTTGTTCAGCAATACTCAGGGAATACTGCAGAGCAAGGGAGGTTGGATTGTTGGGCACTTGCGACGAGATGGCTAGGTGGAAACTGGGCCATCGTTCTGAATGCCACGCAGAGTATCCGAATGCGCAGGTGGGATGCCTCCCATTGAAATGAACTGCATTGATGAGAACACACGGTATGTACGTCACAGTACACCCAGTGCGCTTATACACACGTGTACGGGTGGCATTATACTGAATGGGCATTCACATTGGCTTTACAGGTTCGAAAATTTATATATTTTTTCTCCACATGACACTTTTTACTGTGAATTTAAAGCTCACGTTAGGGACGGGTCTCATAACTTAACTTTGTATTCTAGCGGATTTTTCCAACTTTAGTCACATCGCCCATAAGTTTAGGGTGCACCAGACTTTCCGGAGCATCCTAGAAGCAAGTATCGATGGCAACAACAACCCATTGGGATCGAAAGGTGGATAAGACTAAAGTAATTGTGGACTCCTCATCAAGACAACCGTTAATTCGCTGTGTTTCTTTTTATCACTAAACCCCTTACTCTACTACAATTGAGGTCAGGGATACATTTCAGCCGAGTCCGTCGGAATCGGCAACTCAAGAGCAGCCAGGAACCTCTCGCCGTCTCTGGCTACTCGACACGCCTGTGGCTACTCTCTGGTCTAGCATCGACCCGGAAGATAATCAGTGACAGTTCAGGTATGATTGTCGAGATTCAGCGAGAGCTTTACTTACAGGCCTCGGGGTAAGCTCAGTTTAGCCTCAAGCGCTATCATCACCACGCTGGTTTGGGCCCTGAGGGGATGTGGGGGGAGTCTGAGCGTGGCAAGTCAGTCTTCCTCATTTTTTCGTGAAGCAGTCATTGCCCAGAATGCGTTAGCTCTGCACGTCTCCTCCAGGCTTTGCTGCAAAACAAGCGTCTCAATCACGTCCACAGCGGAGGAGCACACGACCGTGTCACACCCCTCCACACCAGAGTTAACACCATTCACAACTTTCCCAAGATTTGGGGGGGGGGGAAGAAACAATGAGGCAGCAGAGTGGACCTCAGCTGATAAGCCAGAGAGAATGAGTGTTGGTGCCTACATGCATGAATAGGAATGGCTTCTGAAAGCACACACGGAGCATTAAAAGAGGAGGGAGCGGTGTCACACTCGCGAGGGAACACTCCATGGGGACAAGGGGCGGCACCGTGCGGCTCCGGAGCCATACGCGGGGCTCTTTAAGGACTGCTCTGTGGCTCCCGACACCATCATTTCCAAGTGAAAAACCCCTCCTAATTATTTTACATAAGCGGTGAACGTAAAAAAGCCAACAATTATTTGTAATGCGTCATTACAAATCACTGTGCATGTGCCATTCTTAAAATAGGGGTTACAAAACGTACGGTTTGATGTTATTCATACAGTACCGTCTTGTATTCGCACGCATTGCGGCTTTCGAATTTTTTTTACCGAATTCTAAGAAAATGGATCTTTGTTATTTTGGGTTTCCGGCACCCTGTCCCCTGAACCCTCCAGACTCGAAAAGCAAAAACGAAGACGTGTGGAGGCGCGGGAGTCTGCCGGTCGGGCGGCAGCGTGGGGGGGGGGGGTGTAGGAAGCGTGGGGAGCAACGTTACCTGCCGCGTTTGGGGAGCCTGCGTATTCATGGGGGGCGGCTGCTGTGTCGGCGGGGCAGCCTGGAACACTAAGGACGGAGGGCCAGCTTGACTGGCTGTGTACGGGTGCTGCACACACGCACGCACACACACGGGTTGACACACGTACACACAAAACAAAGACAAAGACCCCCCCGTATAGCCTTAGACTGTTGGGGCAATTGATGTTAGCGAGCACCGATGAAGGCCAACATGGCACACGAGGGGGTAGGTGACCAACACCACGCCCGGCCGCCTTCGTCTCCCAAGTGGCGATATTTTACACAACGCCCCAGGTACTAATTTGAGGCCGAGTCTACTTAGGGGAGGCCCAGAACCAGTTCTAATAATTGTCACTGGTGTTGGCCATGAGCGGGAATCAAACTCAGGTAGCCGGGTTCATAGCGCAGCGCGCTAACCACTACACGACCGCTCCCCACAAAAGGAAGGTATGCTTGTAAGCCAATTTCCGAAAGAGGTTAATCTTTTGTAGATGGCAGTACGTCTGCCTCACCACATTAGGTCGACTCAGTCTCAAATGAGTGCCACTGGGGAGAGAAAAGCAGTCGAACGTGTTGCTGGCCACTCACCCCCTTGTGTACCGTGGCGGCCTTCATCACTTGCCCTAACCGTCTGTCAAAGGCTATAAAGGGGATCTTTATCTTTGCCGCATCACATGTAAAATGACACTGTGCTGATGTTGCACAGGTGTGCGTTCGTAATGGTGCACATAAAAAACCCCGACATAGAGACCTCGCCATCAGAGTGAAATGTGCCAAGCCTATATAGCAGACACGTAATGATATGCGCACACAATTACAACAAAAAGATACATTCGTTAGCCTAGGTAGACTGCAGAGGCAATTGCCGTTAACATTCACACTGCACAAGAGGGCGTTATACAGAAGCTCCAAGGGAAGAACACGACCCACTTGTGAACGATACGGAGGCATTTAAGATCACTGCTGGGATCATGGCCCAGTTGTCCACCCACCGTGCTCCTACCACCCACTACACAAAGGGGGCCTCTGTTTAGCATAAAAGACCGTTCCAGCAAGCACACGGCATGCAGAGGGATGTCTTGGCTAGTCCCGTGGCAGACACTAATACCCCCCCCCCCACCTGGTGGAGTTGAGCTGACTAAAGGGAGTCGCACTCCAGGTAAAAATAACAATTGCCACTGTTATTGTACACGGCCAGGAATATAACTTAATTTCGCCAGTGTCAGAGCTCTCCACAGTGCCACAAAATATGAGATCTCCCTCTGTTACTTTTGAAAAAAAGCTAATAGCTCAGTGAACTTTATCTGCTAAGATAAAAAATTGGTTAGTTTTATTTCTCTATTTGCTTTCATTTCCTATACTTTACACTCTTACCGTGTTTTTGTATTATTCTAATGTTCTGACCTGCCCCTACTGAACATCTGTGAAAAATAGCTTTATAGCGCATCGGATTCCTCCAGTACAAATATTCAGATTCTAACTAAGGCAGGCAGCACCACAACAAGCTAACTTCATCTCCCCAGAGTTAACCGATTCAGATATAACTCGCCATTACTAAAAGTGAAAGCTGGAGAACGAGGCTTGTAGTGGTTAACGCTCCCCAGAATGACAAAAGATCCACTACATGTGCTGTTAGCGAGGAGTATCAACCTATAAAGGCCGGCATGCCACACTAACGGTGTCAGGGGTGGCCAGCACCACGCCTGGCCGCATTTGTCTCCCTAGTGGCAATGTTTACACACAATGTGCCAACGGCTCACTTGAGGGCGTTATGACCTCGGGTGGGCCCAGCACCGGTTCAGATATTCGTCACCGACGTTGGCCGCGAGCGGGAAATTAACTCGGGACGCCGGGTTCGTAGTGGAGCGCATACCGCTCTCCGCACCCACACAAACGTGCGCATGTGTATATTACATAAGTGAGCACACGCGTAGAACACTGGTACACACCTGCTGCAGGCCGGGTGAGGGTGCGTGTGGGGGCTGCTGCGTCGGGGCCAGGGGCTGGGCTGCCTTGCTCATATCATGGGCTGCACCATATGAGGCCTGAGGTGGCCCCTGCTGCCTGGAAACCTGCGCGACATTCACAAGCGGCGGTGAGGCACACGGGGAGCAATCCAACTCACCGCTCGTGCTCTACACCACCCCACCCTCACCCCAAAAGACAAAGATCCCCCGTATAGCCTTCACAGACTGTTGGGACAAGTGCTGTTAAGCGAGCGCCTACGAAGGACGGCACGGCACACGAGGGGAGTGGGGTGGTCAGCACTGCGACCAGCCGCTTTTGTCTCCCCAGTGGGGATGTTTACAACACACCGCACCAGGTACTCATTTCAGGCCGCGTCGACCAGGGGAGGCTCTGGACCGGTTCAAAGTTGTCACTAGTGGTGGCCACGAGTGGGAATCGAACCTCGGGTTTATAGCGGGTTCGTAGTGCAGCGCGCTAACCGCTCCACTACCCCTTCCTACCCCCACCCCCGTGACAATAGCCGATCGTCACGAAATCTCCCCGTTCGTGTCAACGACGATTTCCTGCATCCCTCTCCTCAAACTGCGATTCAATCCTTGGAACCAAGAAAATTATGGGATTTTAATCGACGAGTCATTTTATGGAAGAATCCTTGCAAGGGTTCCATTAGTGAATGGATACAGATGACGCTTGATTATCCGTGGACATTGTATCTGGGTTATGAATTAACTATCCATGCGGAAATATAAAAATAATGAATAATGATACAACTATTTTGTGGGTGTGCCGGATCTATTATTGGCTGCTGCTCACTCTGAGGGACAATGACTCGGCAAATTTCACTGCTATGTAGTTTATACTTTAGTTGTTTATGTAGTTAATACTTTAGTTTTCTACGTGGTTGTTTAGTAACTGCAGCTACATACTATTAACATTCCTTTCCTTTGTTAATGCTACCCCCCTTCCCCCTCCCTTTGATGCTGCTAATCCTGCATAATGCACGGGCATAATATTAATTTGAACCCCCCCGCCCACCTCCTACGCATTTTCCATATGCTAAATTCCTCTTGATATGCAAATTATTTTGTCAAGGCGCTCTTCTTCCCACCTCCCCCCCCTCCAAACCAGCTTAAATATACGCTCCAAGCTTGGTGGTTTCATTCTTCACCTGAGGACGGCTGCTTGCGTTGTGGCCGAAACGTCGTGAGAATTATTTTATTTTATTATGTTTTATTTTTATTATTTTATTACTTCCCTTTTACGTGACTTTACCGAAAGAACCAAGAAGATAAACTTGAAATTGTTTGCTTTTTCCAGTGCATGATAATTTACTAGACGCACGTGACTTTCTGCACTGCCATGTAGATTTACGTTTTACATATTCTCTCCCAATGCTATGCAGGTAAACAATAGATTTTGTAAATATCCCAATTTTAATATTTAGCAGTATCCCTCTATTTTGTGGGCCATCCCCCTCCCATTCATTCACCCAGACATTATCTTGACATGATAATGGACCAGAAAAAAATCTTAATTTCCAGCAATAAAGTGCTATCACACATGCATACACACACACACGGGTGCTAAAAAACAACCATATAGGATGGTATCCACCCCCCAGTGTGCCAAGCATGTGGCATCACGTGGGGCGTGCAGTTTTACCCCATGAAGATGGGGCAGACGCAAAGGACAGCAACATCACACCAATCTGTCTCATCGGAGGCATCTGGAAAGTTATTATGACGTCTGCATTACATAACAAGTAAACCAATTGATTGAGGCACGGAATTATTATTTTACATCAACAGCACCTATTTTCAGCCGGTCCTGTGCTCCCCTACATGAGGCAAGGCGGGGGGGGTCTCTTCTAGAAATATAACAACGTACAGCAGCTCGCTAATAGAGGTCTCAAAGTCCCACTTGTCATTGTTGAGAACTCTAACGGGACCCGTTCATCGTAAGCACTCGAGATAACCTGGGGCCTGAGTACAGAAAATATGCGTAAAATACACCAGGCAGCCATTGGCTTCGGCTCCGAAACAGCGTAGGTGAAAAGCAGACAGTATTTGTGCCCATCCCAGTGAGATCGCAACGCTGGGCACGGGGCAGTGGTTGCCAGGGATTGTGTCATCGCTGCTACTACACAAGACAATCAGCTGGCAGGAAACAACCCTCAGGCAACAAGGCCACCATGAAGTCCCCATTCATGATGGCCACCATGACATCATCACTGAGGGTCCTTCAGATGCTCTTGGCTGAATTAAGTTGTTTATTGACATTACGTATTTTTTTAAGTAGCATGAGTATAATTTGTATTATTATATTCATATTCTTGGCTCTTTCGGTAAAGTCACGTAGATAGGTTCAAAGAAAATAACAACTATGACGTTTCGATCGCAACACAAGCGGTCGTCTTCAGAAAAAGGGGGGTTAGCTTCCAAGGCAAACTGTTTATAGGGGTTTGAAACAGGCGTAGCCCAAATGTCAGCAGCCAATGATAATGTAAGTGTTGGGCAGCCAACCCGACTGTGGTTGGAAGGTGGTAGGATGGGAACATCATAGCCAATTCTGCCTAAAACTGGTTGATAATGTACTTCCAATGAGTGTTCAGTTTGTACCCATCTTCTCGGTTGCAATTGTGTCTGTCTATAAGTAGATGGCTTCATGAACGAATCTTTGTTGATAGCCAGTGGGTTTGCAAGTACCTTCATCTAAGAGAAATCAATTTCGCGTGAGCCCACCGCATTCAAACAATGATCAGCCACGGTCGAGGTATTGGTCCTACCATGTTTCAGATCTGCCTTATGTTCATGAACACGGTCCGAGACATGTCACTTAGTTTCCCCAAATCAACTACTGCCGCAGACACAGCTTAGTTTGTAGACGCCGGGGTATTGCATGTCAGGGATCACATCTTTCACAGATGGGATCAGATCACGCATTTTATGTACTGTGTTAAATAGAGCCTGGATGTTATGTTTGCTCATGATTTTGGAAATCTTATTAGTGACCCCTGCTCTGTATGGCAAGGTGATGGTTTTGATTGGGTCCTCAAGATGGTTATTTCCCAATGGTTAGGGTGATAACTTTACAGATTGTGTAGTCTGAATATCCATTCATCTTGAGAGCTTGGTGTACGTGTTCCAGTTCACTGGCTAGGTGATGACGGTCGGAAATAAATCGAGCTCTATGGTGTAGAGTTTTGATGAGGGAATTCTTCTGGGATGGATGGTGGTGGAAGTCAGGTTTTAGATAGGCTTCCGTATGAGTGGCTTACCTGTAGACAGAGTGTCCCATTGAGCCATCTGGTCTCTTTTTGATTAAAACATCCAAGAATGGTAACTTGCCATCCTTTTCCACTTCCATGGTGAATTAGATGGCTGGGTGTGTGGAATTGATGTGGTTGAGGAATTGGTTCAGAGCTGGTAGGCCATGTGGCCAGATGACGAACGTGTCATCTACGTATCTCTTCCACAAGGACGGACGTAGAGTGGATGCCTGGATGGCATCTGTCTCAAATCTTTCCATGAAAACATTGGCTACAACTAGAGATAAGGGAGAACCCCATTTGGGTACCTTCCACTTGTTCGTAGAATGTTCCATTCCAGGTGAAGTAAGTGTTGGTGAGGCAGTGTCTCACCAGGGCCGATACATCAGCATTCAGTCCTTGGTGGACCAAATCTTCAATTATTGCAATGGTGTCAGGCACAGGAACTTTGGTAAACAAAGATATGACATCGAAAGTAACGAGCAAATCACCTGGAGATAGGGAGATGTCCTTAATTAACGATACCAGGTGAGCCGAGTTGAGTACAGCTGAGGTGGTCTTACCAGTGAATGGTTGTAAGGTCTCAGACAGAAATCGGCCAGTTTGTAGACGAGTGAGTCAATGGTGGAGATGATAGGACGAAGGTGTCCCATCTTTATGGATTGTTGGTGAGCCAAACAATCTGGGTGGTCTAGCAGAAGAGGGTTTTAAGGAAAACCGCTTGGTTGGTTCGATCAAAGATGTCGAATCAGTGATGATATTGTTGGTTTTCGTAACAAGGCGGTTGGTGGGATCTCTTAATTTTGGAATAGCTACCATCATTAAGTAGGTCCTGAATTTTGTTATTGTATGTGGTTTTGTCCATGATAACTGTGGCATTGCCCTTGTCGGCTGAGAGGATGACGATGTCATCTCTCTTTTTTAATTGTAAAAGCTCAAAGCGCTCATCTTTACTGATGTTGCTAATAGGTGTCTTAGCGTTTTTGAGGATTGCAAGGATTTGCGATCTTGCCACGTCTGCAGTAATGTGTCAAATGGCAGCAATATTTCCACCAACTATAATCAACAGGGACTCAAAAATGACAAAATGTTTGAGTATTTTATGAATATTTTTTTAATATTTGAAATGTTTCCACACTGAAAATAGTGTGGGCCGGTCCTAATGTTGTACGACTCTTGAGCAAGAGGTGTAAATTAACACTGCTATTGTTAGGGCCATTCACTTTGCACGACAACTACTCAACTCCACAAAGTGGTAACTATTTTATCAACCCCAACGTACGAGAATGGCAGCAACTAGAATATACATGGGGGGGAGGTGGTAGGGGTGGGTTGGAGGAGAGAAAACTAAAAACAAAAAATATAAACTCATCCCCGTGACTGCGAGGAGCAGGTGCGAGTTTAGCTGAACAACACGCTTGTGGCTGCATAAGGGCCGTACATAAATAGATACAAGAATCAGTGTTCATATTAATGGAAATAGAACATCCTAGAGTAATTAAGTCAACACCCGAGTTTGTAGAAAAACAATTATTTAACTCATTTGACATATTCCTAAATCTAAAATAAATTTCGTAATATATTCAGGAAATGGCTTCGAAAATAATGGCAGCAGCTTGGCCTCAGTGTGCGTGCAATGCGTCCGAAACGTCTAGGGTCCCACTTCTTACCTTGGCGAAGGGATGTTTCCCTGCCTCCCGAGTTTGTTTCTGACACCAGACGAGTTCAACCAAGCCCAGGAACCACAGTGGCTTCTGTCGCAAATGCCTCGTGCGCACTATCGAGTGTTGTTTGTCAACTTCCAGCTCTGACCCTTCCCCAAAGGGAAGACAAGAT